GGAGATAAAAAGGGCCAAATTCTCAGTAGCACAACATCCTTGGCAATCAGGTCTGAAAACTGTGCTGACAGCAAGTGTATTTATCTGTATCAGATGGAGCCTGGACACAGTCATGGTATTATGCCTGTGTAGGAAACCCTTTTTTACTTACATCACATAGTTGTTGTTTCAGTACATTTTAAACTATTTCCAATCGAAATGCTGAGGCAGTCTGTCTCCACATATCGGTGTTTGGCTGTCTGTTAGCTGGTCATTCCCCCTCCCTCCACAATTTTGGAAAAATCAGTAAATTCCAGTCACACTTGACAAAGAGGTATATCCCTTACTACTGTTAAGTAAAGGTGGCTGCATAGAGGAGAACTGGCTCTGTTAGGACCCTCATTGGGAAAGTCTTCAATGTGACATCAGCCCTTACCAGATATCAAAAAATCTGCATGAGAATCTATTGTAAAGACCCAGATCTAGAAAAAACAGTTTCCAGTTAATTGACTGACCAGATAAATCCTTGTTTTCAACTTTAGGAGCCACTCATCTTCTCTAGGGACTAACTACATGGTAAGTTTTCCTCTCCCACTATTTCAGGTGCCACAGTGCACAACCAACCGCATCTGATTCTTACACATTAAAAAAAAAAAAAAGGGAAAAAAAAAAAAGAAAAAAAAAGAGGGAATCAGTGGCTTGGGTTTTTTTCCTTGATAAGCTGAACAACAAATGGGTGCTTTGTGCTCTCACTTTCCCGAAGTGGTCTCTGGTTTGAAGGAAGGCACAGATTTCTCAGTCTGAAGGACAAATGGGAAAAACGATGGTTAACGTGAATACTGCATTGCAGCTGCAGAGCTGGTGATACCAAGAAGTTACTCACAGAGCACTTCATTGCTTCAGCTGAAGACTTCTATGCCAGAGTAAACTGTATTCATTTTAAGAGTTCCTGGGAAAGGCGGGCTGTGCCCTGATGATACATACCATTACAGCTCCAACCTGGTGGGACCCTCCAAGGTGCAACTATCACAGTCAGTGATTATCGGAGCAGGAGAGCACGCAGCCCATCCTCTTCTCTACTCCTCTTCCACAGAGAGAGGCTGGCTGGTCAGATTGCCCAGCTGCACTCACAAAAGGTGGCCATAACAGGAGTCTTCAGATGACTAGCAAGACCATCCAAATGACACCTCTCAGACTCCTGGCCCATGTCATGTGTGGTGAGGAAAGAGATGTTGCACTCCAGACTGCTGGCTAAGTGTGCTTGATGCTGGAGTGGAGTTTGAACTGCAATGTTTTGAGAGCAGCCAAGCAGAGAAGGACTTGGGGGTACTGGTGGATGAAAAGCTGGACATGACCCAGCAACGTGCGCTCACAGCCCAGAAAGCCAGCCATATCCTGGGCTGTGTCAAAAGAAGTGTGGCCAGCATGTCAAGGGAGGTGATTCTGCCCCTCTACTCCACTCGGGGGAGACCTCAACTGGAGTACTGTGTCCAGCTCTGGAGTCCTCAGCACAGGAAAGACATGGACCTGATGGAGTGGGTCCAGAGGAGGGCCACAAAAATGATCTGATGGCTGGAGCACCTCTCCTTTGAGGAAAGGCTGGGAGAGTTGGAGTTGTTCAACCTGGAGAACAGAAGACTTCAGGGACACCTTATTGTGGCCTTTCGATACTTAAAGGGGGCTTATAAGAAAGATGAGGACAGAATTTTTAGCAGCGCCTGTTGTGATAGGACAAGGGGTAATTGTTTTAAACTAAAAGAGGGTAGATTCAGACTAGGTATAAGGAAGAAATTTTTTACAATGAGGCTGGTGAAACACTGGAACAGGCTGCCCAGAGAGGTGGCAGATGGCCCATCCCTGGAAACATTCAAGGCCAGGTTAGATGGGGCTCTCAGTAACCTGATCTAGTTAAAGATGTACCTGCTCATTGCAGGGGGCGTTGGACTGGACGACCTTTAAAGGTCCCTTCCAACCCAAACTATTCTATGATTCTCCCAGAAATGGCCATGAGGATCCACTACTGCAACCTCCTCAAAATGGCTCTGCCCATGCCTTCAAATCACTGTTTTGCTCCAACAGTCTTTCTTTTCGAAGTCTAATATCTTTTGAGATCCAGTCTCTAGGCTGGGCTGCCTGTGACTAAAAACTCATCCTCCTCCCACACCCTTTTTCTACTACCTGAAACCAAGATCCCTTTGTTGTTAAAGGAGGCCCCATTCTCCAGGTTTATATAGTCCTCAAAAAGGAACTGCCTGGAGACTTGAGATTAGCCTCTGGCAACCTTTGGTCAGCAAAACCTGCTTGCTGGACCAGAGCTTGGGCCTTGAGGTGCTCTAGGAGAGAAAGGTGAGGAGCGCAGAGTGTGGTGACCACTGCGTGTCTAAAAGGAGATTCTCATCATCTGGCCCCACACCAGCAGCCATCTTCGTGCAGCCCAGACCAGACAGGAAACATGATGTGCTTCACTTCAGAGAATTATATTTGTGTATGGAAAAAGAGGTGTGCGGGGACACGTATGCATGTGCATGCCTATCTGTGAACTGGGCAACCATTGGGCTGTGGATTTGTGTTTGTGCGTCTCTCTTGGCTTGTGAGGTGAGCGCAATGTGTGCTGGGGGAGACATCTGCCTGTGGCGAATGGATCTTCTAAACTAAACGCGCCCCACAGGGCCTGTGAGGTGTTATCCATCTGTGAAGGTGAGGGCATATGAAACTTTGGAAGAAGGTAGACATTTTTTGCATCCTTTTCTGGACAAGCCATGGCGAACAGGCACTGCAGCTGCTGCAGGGCAGTGTTGCCTGTCTGGCCTAGCTGCGAGGCTCAGGTCGGAGGAGGTGATTCTTCCTTGTCTGGAGTGAGTGAGGTGCATGGCTGGGTAAGGAGGCCACGTGATGGGTGTTCCTGCGGTGTCACACCATCTGCAAGTGTGAGGGTTGTGCCTCAAGCTTGCTCACACTCAGCACTGCCCTGGTTCCACTCCTGCTCTGACCCAGGATAGATCCTCTGAAACTGGGGCACTGGTGGGGAGGCTGGTTTCGTTCTGGTGTTGCTTAGGTCAATGACTCGAGTTATTTTTCACAAAGTGGTCCATGGTATTTCTACCGCAGATCAACTCCTATGCCCGGTTTCAAATTGATCTGTGCACGTGTGCAGACCCTGAGAGTGATATGAGTGGTCTTTCTGGGTATCTGCAAGAGGAAGCTATGAGTCTCTTGCTAGTGTCCCAAAAGGACACTCTTTTGCTTCCCAGCAATAGTTACAAACTGGTCCCAGTATATCTGATCACTGCAAGCTAACACCTGATCCCTCCACCCTTGTTTCTGCACCTATTGCTTTACCAGCAGGAAGTAGGACGTGGTTTGGGGCTTTTTATTCTCGGCCTCGCTAGCCTTTTCGATACTTCAGGGCCTCGTCTCAGTCTGACAAGGCAAGCAAGCGGCAGCTTCCTGTGCTAAGGTGAGAGGGAGAAGACAGACCACGCACATACAAGAAGAACAGCTCCACAGCAGAATTGCTGGGCTAGAGGCATCTCTCTCACTCCAGCGGCATTGACTGGCAGCTGGACATGCATTGAGCTAGGATATCTGCCTCCATCCCTCTCCCCTTCCCCCCCTCCCCACTCCCCTCACAGTTTGACGTCCAGCACCTGCTTCCAGCCGACCCCGAGACCCAGTCCCCAGGGACTCCCTTCGTCTGGACCACCGGGTGCCTGGAGCTGGAAGGTAAAGGGGGTGATGCCAGCTCTCTCCCACGTGGGGATGGCTGATCTAAAAAGTGTCTTGGAAGGAGTTTCGGTCTGACAAACTGAATCTCACCGTTGGGGAGGGCTGAGCACGTATTTATCTCTCTGTCTCTCCACAGACCTCTCAAATCATACACCACATCTCACAACCACGCCGCCTGCTCTCTTTCTCTCTCTTTCTCTCCCCTTTGTCTGTGAATGTGTTGTCGTCATGTTTTTCTTCCTCTGAACCTAATCTTTTATCACAACGGGAATCGATATTATGCCTCATGCCAGCCCTTTATAAACCGTCTCTTCCCGCTCTCTTGGCAGTCCCAGCAGGGTCCGGCAGGACTGTCTTGTTTTGCGCAGCCCTGCCTGGGCTCCAGGCTTGCTGAGAGGTGACGGTGGTCTCTTCTCCTGTGGGCAGAGACAGACCTTGAGGTATGGGTGTCCAGGTGGATGGGGAGAGTGGGAGGCTTGGATAAGAAGCCCATAAGCCTGGTGTGTCTAATATGGAGCATGGCTGTACAGGCTTTGTAAGACAAGGAGTCTCCCTGGGTGCCACAGGTGGATGAGGGGTGCTGCAGAGTTTCCTAATTACAAAGCCCAAATTTTCTGCTACACCTAAAAGTATGGCTCCTTCCAAGGTAGCACAGGGTCTACTTCACAAGGATGGTGCATGGCTAGTGTGTGACTGTGTAATATTTTGTGATATGGTAAAGCCTTGACTTTCCAGAACTTGGTAAACTCCTTCTTCTCCCTGATTTCCTCCCCTGTCCCAAACAAGCCATTCAAAATCTATCTCCTAAGTCATTAGCTCTGTAACTAATTTTTGTCAGTTGCAGCCAGAGACCCCTCTTACTCAGCAAGCACCTAGTTATTTCAGCCGTACGACTTACCAAAAAAAGAAGCTCTTCAAAACGCAAGCCGTGTGCAACTAAGGCAGGATTCTCTACCTGAGTCAGCAAGCAGCCTGAAACAACACATGCGGACTGCTGTGCACTCAGACACATTTCCAGAAGGCATTACTCCTGCAAAAACCTATCTGTGTTGCAGTGCAAACGGTTTCAGTGCTGAGCAAAGCACTCAAGACAGGAAAATGATGAGGTGCTGAGGGAAAAGCACAGACTCTGGAGTAGAAAGGGTATGAGTTTCTGAGCCTGGAAGATCAGCACTGGCTTTGAGTCCTGCCCTGGGACGGTGGATGCCTCCTGTGAGATGACATCTTCCTAATTTGCATTGCTGAGCTATGTTGGGGGGGGGCGTCTTCTGTCTTTCAGTGTGTCACCAGTACAGATGAAGCCCTCTTTGCTGCTTCTGTGTCACCTCTGGCTGTTCAGCCTCATGCCTCTCTCACAGGCATCAGACTCAGCACAAGGTAAGAAGTGATTCCCTTCACCTCTGCCAGCTGGGCAAGCGGCGGGGGGGGGGGTGTCAGTTGGAGCAGTGTATTCGCCATGGTGTGTTGCTGTGCAGTGCTTGTGTTGTCACATAGAGCCAGAGGAGTTTGCAGTAGTTAAAGGTCCCTTATGAGCACATCAGCCTCCAAGGACGGAGCAGTGGCTCTGCCTTTTTTACTTGGAGACAGTTATCCAGCAGAGGAGTTAGTCTGTATTTTTGGATGGGGCAGAATTGTTCAGGGTGATGGTTGATGCCCAACATCATTGCTAATTCAGTCACGCTGCTGTCCATCTCTTCTCTGCTGGCAGGTGCCTCCAGCCTAACTTGTTGGTATGACTCACGGGCAGCTCTCTTCTGCGACTGGAACCCAAGCAGGGACCTGGTTGAAGCACCATGCCAGCTGGAGATTATATCGAAGTTAGCTTTTTGTGACAGGTGGGTGACTGGAGAGGCTGAGGAAAGCCAATGCTTTGAATGAAAAGTGTCCTGGAAAGTTTGCCACTTTACAAAAATGTAAGTTCCTCCTCCCCAGACCAGGTGTAGTGGAGTCACAGAGCTGCAGAGCCTAGGGGCTTTGTCTTGAACTGTGTCTCTAATCCTGTGTGGGCTGAGATGCTGGACACTGCTCAGTGTTTGTTATCTGACGGTCCCAAGCTGTCTAGCACAGCCCATCTTCCAGTTCCATACTATGTCTGTGTTTCATTTTCCAAAAAATCCCTCTTCCTTGGTAGCCACCCTCTGGACTGAAAGGCATTTTCAATGGAAAAGGAGGATGTATAGAGATGAGGGCAGAGGAGAGTGGAATTAAAGTTACATAGGGGCCATTTGCCCATTTTCCAGGATGAACTGGGATGTGGCACCCTGAGTGCATAAATGAAGGAAAATATTGTTCCCCTTGTCTCCCCTGGCCCTTTCATCTCTCTCATTTCATGATGTTTTCCTCTCCCACACATCTCCCAACAGAGGGGTAGGTGTGTGGACAGTACTGCAGTGAGGGCTGGCTGAGTCTCTGTGGTCTCCAAGTATGACATCTCCAGCCAAGAGATTTACCAGCTTACCCCAGGGCTGGGGTAAGGAGAGGCTCAGTGTGATTCTGGCAGTGGGTGGGTTGCTCATGACTCTCATAGAGACACCTCCAACAGGGTGAGATTGGCAAATATATTCTGGGGCTTGGTGCATGGACCTAGAAAGCCAAAACATTTATGTTGCTCCATGTGTATGAACCACAGAGGCTGGAGCTGGAATTTGGGCTGGATTTGGAACTGTGCCATTGCTTGATCAGGGCTCTAGGACTCCACTTTTTCCCAGAATCAGCAAGTCCCAGGCTTGATCTGACCTTACGACTGGAGCAGCCTGATACCCCCTCAGCTGCCACCCCATGGATGCTCTCTTACCCTGTAACCTCCTGTGCTATAGCTCAGCTTGGGCTGTCCATCCACACTTGTAAGAGCACTAGAGAGGTCATGGTATTGCGCTGCCAAGCGTGAGGTATGGTCCTGGCTGACTGGGATGTGACCTGGTTCAGAAGATGGATTTCCCTTGGTGGATGCTACAGCACCATCAGTGGCTTGAAGAAGACCTGTAAACCCTAGACGGGCTGAAACAGGTACCTGTCTTCCAGGGCCATGTTGGCACAGTTGTGGGCAGCAGGTGTGTTTAGGCTCTGCCTGTCCTCT